AGCATAAGAGACAGGGCTTTTCTCTATATCATGATTGTTGGTAGGAAGCACAATCTTGTATCCTGCTTCTTGTACTTCCTGTTTTACAACTTTATGATTTATTTACAGAGGTGATTGAAAAAAAAAAAAAGCAAAGCTGTCTGCGTGAATGGGAAAGGTTTTGGACAGCACTTGTGGAGTCCTAAATAATGATGCTCATCTATAGTCTCCCTTCACTTTGATGTGACTCAGAGACTTGGATGTGTGCAGATTGATTGGAGCCCACGTGGGCTCTCTGTTGTCTTTCACAAGACAAATGGAATTCAGCACAGAAACGTTGCTTCACTCCAAGCATCCAGTAGGGTGTGGAGATAACTGTTTTATGAGAAAAAGAAATTCAGGGGTCAACTGTAAAATAACAATGAAAAGCGAGGCCAGCGTGGGTTCAACTGGTGCCTGGAACTAAGGGAGCTGGCTCCTCCTTTTGTGCCATTGTCAGCCCACGCTCATCAATGAAATCCTGGTGGCCTGGAGTACAACCCTCAAGGGCCTGGCTTTTAATCCACTGGGGAATTTAGGAGCAGAAAGCAGGGGTGTGAGGGGTTCTGTCGACCTCTCCCCATTCTGATGACCCCTCTCCTACGGGAAGCCACTGTCTCCTTTCCTTGTCTCTAGCTCTGCATAACTTTGGCTCTCCACCTCCTCCAAATGTAAATTGTAAGTTGGATCGTGCCATCCCTTTAAACTCCTCTACACCTTCTTTCTTTGAGGCCCAAGTTCAAGTTTCTCATCTTGTTTTATAATCACATCCTGACCAACCATTCCTTTCTCTGCATGCTTTCTTCTCATCGCACCCAGAATCCTCTTAACTCTGTCTCTGTCCCTCTCCCACTGCTGTGTCCCGGACCCCAGACCTCTGGCACGGCTTGCTGCTTCCTCACTCTTGTTGAGTCACTCCTGTTTCTACTCCATTGTGAATCACACTCTTTCTTACCAGAAGCACCCTTGCCTTACTTCTCCCTACTGAGTCCTGTGTGGAGCTGGTATTTGACCTAGGACAGCTGCACCACTGGGAGCCATCTCACTAGCACATGATACCATGAGGCAGACAGGCTGAAAGACCCTGTCTGGGCTCATCCATTGCTCAACCCTGGCTCCTTTCTCCTCCCCTCCCTCGAGTTCTGATTGTAGATGCTTCCTCTGAGTCTGATCAACACTCATCAAGGGCCTCCCTATATTTGTTGGACTTCTTCAGATGTCATAACAAACTCCTCTCTCTTAGCATATTTTCTAAAATAAAGAAGCATGCCAATAGAAATCCATCCCACCTGGTACTACCCAGTCATCTTCAAAGACTTTAAAAAAGGAAGATGACAACTCTTTGGTCACTCTTAAGTTGACACTTTCCTGGATGTCGAAAGATAGAAATATTGAGTAACGCGTATGATATGGGTACTATGCCACCAGAATGGACGCTGGCTAGTACATGTCCCTTGGTGTTCTTGTGTCTGTCCACCCTAGCTGGAAGCAGAGGACAGGCAGATATGTATCGCCTGGCCCTTATAAACTTCTAGTGATGGCTAGTTTCTGGTTTTCAGGCTGGGGTGGGCAAGGGCTATCTCAGGAGCCTGACTCGTCATCAGTGGAAATGCTTCTCCCTGGATCACCCAAACAGGAAGTAGGTAATATTGACTGAGTGCATTATTTCGGCTCCCTCTTATGTAATTACATGACTTGATTTCTCATGTCTTGGGTTGTATTTGGCAGTTTCTTAAACCAGAAATTCCCTGTGATTAACCTATGCACCCTTGCCTGTTAAAATTTGACAACAATTTACTTTCTTTTCCAGGATTTGTTGTTAACGACCAGTAAGTTGGTTGAGAATTTTGCTACCAAAGGTCTTTTAGTAATCTCTTTTTCCCTTGAATGTCATCATGTGTTTTCTTCAGTATTTATTATTATTTCGAAATCTAACTTACTAGCGTTTGTTATTGGGAGAGATGTTTTTATATGTTTATCTGCCCTGTTCATTTCCAGTAATCTTTTAAATGAGGTTGTGTGTGTGTGTGTGTGTGGGAGGGAGGGAGGTGCATTGTTACTTGTTTTTTATTCTCAATCTTGTTGATAATTATTAAGATCTGGCCACCTCACCTGAGTTTTACAACTTGATTTACAAGTTCTTTTATGAAAGTCTGCACAACACTACTTTCTTAGTGATTCACTTTCTAGAACACTTAGCTTGATTTTTAGATTTTATTTGTGAAACACTTATTTTTAAAAAATAAACAAGTAATTTTTTTTAAGCAAAGAAGAGAGTAAGGATTCTTTCTGGGTTACGATCTAAGTGCTCTGTTGTCTCTGCAATGCTTCCTATTTATGCCCAGAACTCTGGCTTATTCTGCTAGCCTACTCGTTAAGACTCTGAAGTGATGGCTTCCTGATCATTGTACGATGAGCTCTCTGGTGTTGTTGGAAGGGGTGCAGTGGGGAGGGTAGTCCTGAAGCAGTCCTTGGCCTCACGCCAGGAGAGTGCCAAAGTCTCCCGTGTACCCAGCACATCCCATCCTGGTGGAACCTTCCCTTTGTTCCAGATAGCTGCAGCTGGCATGGTGCCTGCTTTCTCCACGTGTCTGGGCAGAACATGGTCAAACCATGGACCACATTTCCAACTTAGTGGCTAGCAAATTTCCCTTCTGCTCATTGTGTTTTCTTGTACACGCCTTGTATAAACTACACAATCTGTCAGTGTCTCAATATCTTATCTGCAAATGGAGCTAATAACATTGACTACATTTCTCCTAAGAGAGTCCTGAAGATTAATAAGCTGGCAAGTGTCTAAGGTGATAGACCCTCCATAAATTCCCATGAGTGCTATTACCAACTTCCCTCTGGACTGCCGGAAGAAGAGTGAGGCTCACGTTCTATCCAATATTTATAGAGCTCCGCCTTTAAAAATATTTTATAATGCTTATGAATTTAGAACAGCCTCTTGCCCTGTGCAGTTTCATTATCATGCTTTTATTCATAAACGATTTGGTAGGTGTTCTCTGCAGATCATTTTTGTTGACCCTTCATTATTTTACTAATTCAAATCATTATTCTATTTTGCTGCTGATTTAAAGGATTTATTGAATCGCAAGTCTGCTTGGGTTCTGAGAGATTTTTCCTTTTGTGTGACCTGCATCCTACATTGGTCTTCCTTATCAGGGGGGGCTGGAGAGATTCTAGGTGAGGCTAATTGGGAAAGGGAAACTCCAGAGTGGAGACAGGCCACGGTGGGACTCGAGTTTACCAGGATGCAGCAGGATAATCCAAGGGTGGAGCCTGGACAGAATGTTTACTGATCTGGATAAGCCTGAGATGTTTACGTTGGCCCATTGATCCCCTTTCACCCACTGGGAGATCAAGATGCATGAAATGCCAGCTGTGGATTGTTGGCTCTGGCCACAGTTCACACCCCGCGCCAGCAGGGCACCTTGGCTCTTTATCCCTCCATCATCTCTCCTCTGGGAAGATGCCGCATCCTGGTTCAGAGGAGCCCCGGGGCACCAGGGTGATTAGCACCAGGCTCCACCGGCTCCTGAGACAGGGGCTCAGACTTTGCTTTGATCAGTATCTCCCTGGCAATGGTTTACTTCTTTCCCCTATCGCAGGTATCAGATGCCCGTGCTCTTCTGGGGGTTTCCTCCTTACCCCCTCCTTAGTCCTTCCTCCCACTCTCCTCTCCATCTGGGTTGGTCACCATGGCAACTGGGAGAGGCTGCCCCCAGGACTTTGCTGTTTAAGGGTTTCCCCACTAGGGGGTGGTGTTTTCTTATGATCCTTGACATGGTTTCTGCTTTGTTAAATAAGTAAACATTTCTATACACGAAATAACTACATGGCGGGTGGGGGTGGGGGGGTGGTAAAAACAGGCTTTTGTATTGTAAGGAATAAAAATGCAAACAACCAAGAAATGGTCGCTTTCAGAGCATTTCTCCTAGAAGCCATGATGCATGAAGCATTCTATTGAAACTTTTCTGTCTTCTCTGAAATTAAATGTCTAGAATCACAACTTCGAATTTTGAAGCTCCTATGTGGCTTCTTAAGCATTCCATGTTCCACCCAAAGTTTCTGTGACGTCTTTGTGCATTGTGTAAGTACATTCTATTTTTCAGTTTTGTCTGGAGAAATTGGTAAAATAACACAGGCTCCCAGAATGATTCCGTCCCCAGCTGATTGACAGGGGGAACACAAGAGCACTTTCAGATTTTACTAATTGAATAAGAAAACTTGATATGTGTAATGTTAATGAAAATCAGGTCAATATATGCCCAAGAAAGAAAAACAAGCTGTCACTTAGATTCCACTAACCCTTTATCGTGGTTAAGCTCATTTAACACACAAACAACGCAGCACTCCATGATTCTTTGCCAAGGACATCAACAAGTTTAGGTGCATAAAGAATTGCTAAGGAAAAGCCGGGGACAGAACCAGGTGAAAACAAATCTGAAAAGGACAGAGGACATGCCCTTGCTTCAAAAAAAAAAAAGCTGGACCTGTGAGAAAATAACATTGCTGCCTTGTTAATTCACCGTGCTCTAACTCCCCATTCTCCCACATTAGCCTCTGGAGTTAGCAAAAGGGGTTCCAACTTCACAATTCAGTATCATGTCAATGTAAGCTTGCTGTTTAATTTTTCATGACTTCCTAGTGTCATGACTATTAAAGGGGGTAATAAACACAATAATTAACAGGCTCTCTGGTACACAACAGCTGTCCAATACTGATTGTTCGCTTTTACTATCATTCCAAGTGTTTTGCTGGCCAGTGGACAGTGTGAATGAAGACCTTGATCACAAGCACATGACAATATTATGAGATAAAAGCAGAATACATAAATAACAGTAATATAAATTTCAAAGGGAAAAGAAAGGAATTGGGGAAATATGTGTGTATTGTAACTTAACAATTTGCAGACAGAATACTTGTAACATAAAATTTTCTTTTCTTTCTTTCTTTCTTTTTTTTTTTTTTTACAGGCAGAGTGGACAGTGTGAGAGAGAGACAGAGAGAAAGGTCTTCCTTTGCCGTTGGTTCACCCTCCAATGGCCGCCGCGGCTGGTGCACTGTGCCGATCCAACGGCAGGAGCCAGGTACTTCTCCTGGTCTCCCATGGGGTGCAGGGCCCAAGCACTTGGGCCATCCTCCACTGCACTCCCTGGCCACAGCAGAGAGCTGGCCTGGAAGAGGGGCAACTGGGACAGAATCTGGCGCCCCGACCGGGACTGGAACCCGGTGTGCCGGCGCCGCTAGGTGGAGGATTAGCCTATTGAGCCGTGGCGCCGGCCAACATAAAATTTTCTTGACTTTTACTGTATAGACTTTTTTAAAGATTTATTTATTTATTTGAAAGTCAGGATTACACAGAAAGAGACAGAGAGGCAGAGGCAGAGGCAGAGAGAGAGGTCCTCCATCTGCTGGTTCACTCCCCAAGTGGCCACCACAGCCAGAGCTGAGCCAGTCCGAAGCCAGGAGCCAAGAGCTTCTTCTGGGTCTCCCACATGGGTGCAGCCACCCAAGCACTTGGGCCATCTTTTACTGCTTTCCCAGGCCACAGCAGAGAGCTGGATCAGAAGTGGAGCAGCCAGGTCTCAAACCGATGCACACATGGGATGCTGGCACCACAGGCAGTGGCTCAAATGGCTGTGCCACAGCACTGGCTCCTCATGTATTTCTTGAAATTTACAATTTCAATCACATAATGATATTTCCTACCCTCTCTTTCTCCCTCATCATTTTTCTCCTTTTTTTTCCTTTTAATTTTTGCAGTGGCATATTTTCAATTACTCTATAGTCACAGGCTTAATTCTCCACTAAATAAGAATTTAACAAGTAGAAATAAGAAAGACCACTGTTCTTCAGGAGTATAGACAAGGGCTATAAACAATAATCAAATCTCAGGTTGTTAATTTTACTTATATACATTACATTTTATGTACTCTATATATTAGCTATGACAAAGAGAAAACATGGTATTTATCTTTTTGGATCTAGCTTATTTCACTAAGCATACTGTTCTCTAATTGCATCCATTTGTTGCAAATGACAAGATTTTTTTATGGCTGAATCATATCCCATTGTATATATATAGACATTTTCTTTATCCAGTTATCAGTTGTTGGACATCGGGTGGATTCTATATATTAGCTAATGTGAATTGAGCTGCAGTAAACATGGGGGTACAGATAACTCTTTAATATGCTGATTTCATTTGCTTTGGGTAAATTCCCAGGGATGAGATGGCTGCATCATACAGTAAATAAATTTTCAGATTTTGAGTAATCCCCATACTGTCTTCCATTATAGTTATACTAGTTTCCTTTCCCATCAATAGTAAATTACAGTAGTTTTTCTCCATACCCCTGCCAGGGTTTGTTATTATCCCTAGTAGCCAAGATAAAACTCAAAGCATGAGGGAATATTGTTTTTAGTAAAAGAAAACATTTAAACTAGGAGAAATTTTTTTATTCCCAAACTCTGAGAATAATTTGCTATGTGTAGCTTTATATGAAGGAAAATGTACAACCAACGTGATGGACAAATTCCTTAATTGCAGGCTTTTAAAAAAATCCCATAAATTCTATGTTAACCCTTTGCTATTATAACAAAATATCTGACCCAATGAGTTTTATAAAGAAAAAAGTTCTGTTTAGTCCATATACTTGTAGGCTCAAACTTAAGACTGGATAACCCCATTGGTTTGGACTCTGATGAGGGTAGTAGATGGCACTGGTGAAGTCTGTGTGAAGAGAGGATCACGTGGTGAGTCAGGAAACAGAGAGGGAATCTGAGCCCAAACTCAGGCTTTTCTAACAAGTACCTTCTCCCAAGAAATACACAAACTTCATACACTGCATAATTACAACGTTAGGAACATGGTGATTCTTCCCACCATGCCTCCCCCACCCATACTCCCAACCCTCTTCCTCCTCCCTCTCTTATTTCCACTCCTATTTTTTACTGAGATATATTTTCAATTGACTTTATACACATATGTTTAACTCTGTTAAGAGCTCAACAAATAGTATATAAAAAAACCTGTTTCTCATCGGTCAAGACAAGGGCTGTTCAAGTCATTGCTTCTCAAAGTGTCAATTTCACTTCTACAGTTTCCTTTTAGGTGCTCCATTAGGTATCACAGGTCAGGGAGAACATGTGGTATTTGTCCCTTTGGGTCTGGCTTATTTAACTAACTATGATATTTTCCAGAGTCACCCATTTTGTTGTAAATGACTGGATTTAATTTCCTTTCTCTCTTTCTGTAACTGTGCCTTTCAAATCAATAAATAAATCTTTAAAAAAAAAGATTAGGCACTTCCTACCATGAAATGGCTCATCCCAGTGAAGAGACGTGGATTCAACTTGTATCATATTTATATTATCAAAGGGGTTCCTTCAAGTGCCTTAATAAAAATTTCATCAGTAACACATGCAAATCCTTCATCCCTGAAGTTTCATGAGTTCTCTGTTTTGTGATTTAGTTTTAGTTAATTTAGCCAGCATAACCAGATCTAATTTATATGGATAATTTAGTTTCTGTGCATTTTTTAATAATTAAAGAGACCACATTCCATTATCCTTTGTTACATAGCAAACAACTTCAAAACTTAGTAGCCCAGAACCACTGTTCCACCATATTCCCCAAGGTGATTGACAGTGTGGTTCTACTGCTCATCGTAGGATAGACTGGCTCTCAGCTCGCAATTGGCCTATCTACAGAGGCCAAGGCAGCTGCACATGTGTAGATGTCGGTTGTGGGGGATGACTGGAAGTTGGGGCTCAGCCAGGACTGTGGTGGGGAGCATGTCCATGCAGTCATTCCAGCATACTGGTCTTGGGGCAGCTGGACTTCCTACATGGCGATTGGCTCTGCCCGGACCAAGTTTTCAGAGAGACTCTGGCAGAAGTGGCAGAGTTTCCTATGATTTAGGTTTTTAAGTCCCTGAATGTTGCTTTTCCTGGATTTTCTTAGCTGAGCAACTCACCATGGCCAATCTAGATTCCAGGGGACCCTCAATGAGAGCAGCCAGGAATT